GCTCCCATTCTTAGTCTTAGTCATTCTTGTTGTAAGTTTACTTCCTGACAATACCAATGATTTGCTAAAGAGTCTTGGTGGAATGCAGGCGATGAGTCACAATAACGTGGCTGAAGTATGTTGACCAGACCACACACTAGAAATTGAAGGGACGACGACGTTTCGGTCCGTCCTGGACCATTCTCAAGTCGATTGTCTTGGAATGTTGTCCAAGTCTTGGTGGAATGTTGTGTGGCATTTAGCACCATCAAATGCCATCAGGTCAAGTTTTCATTTCTCACATATTCCCTCATAATAAAGAACTATGATCGTGCCTTGTTTGCTGGATAGGATTTTCACAGTAATTTGATTTAATAATCTGCTTCTCTAGTATCCGCGACACTAATCTCTAGTATCTTAGTATCTATTTCTAAGACTTTGAAGGGCAGTTCTTCTGTCAGTGTAGATCACCATTCGCTTCTGCTCAACTACATTCCAGCCCTTCATTCGTCTCCCTTCGTTTTTTTGTTTAGTCAACCTCAAACTCCTTTTCCTCATGTCTAGGCCCGTGTCCATCTTCTACCACTTGCACTATTCCTTTTAATCTTAGTTACTTCCCCTCTTTCTTCCCAGTCAGCCCTTTCCTCCCTGTTCCTTTAGTCAATCATCCAACTCGTTATTCTATTCTCAGCTTTATTAGCTTTCCAATCACTCCATCCCTCTCACCTTCCTGGCTCTCTCCTTCACCTTTCAATCTTAATGACACTATGTAAAAGACACATCAAACACTTTATGTAGGGCATACGTAAATCTGTGTATCTATGTATTTACGTATGTAGGTTAGCTTAGCATTTTAAAAGCACCGAATCACCTTCTCTGGTTGAGTGTTCAATAAACCCCTGAACTCTATGTTTAACATTTCTCTAACCCTGTCCATGGAGGACAGAAGAAAATGTATATATGCTGGTTAGCATTGTAAATGTGTGGCCACGTCTGTGGTAGAAAAAAAAAAAAAAAAAAAAAAAAAAACCTTTCAACCCTTCCATCCCACCTTCCAAGCCTCCCCCTCCCACACCTCACCCCCATCCCACAACCAGCCACACCCCTTTTTCCAACGAAGAGAGTTCTCTGAATGTCAACAGATGGCAGTGTCGTTGGTGAGGTGATTGGGCTGGTTTGCTGGGGAGGCTTAGTTGTTGTCTGAATGATTGAGCGACAAGACGGTTAGGTAACTGCATAGCTGAATGAGAAGTTGGCTGGTTGGTTTACTGGTTGGTTATCGGGCTTTATGACTGGGTGGGGTGAATGTCTGAATGATTGGGTGTTAAGGGGATCGGGCGACTGGTTGACTAGAGCGGTTATTGGCTGATTGGCTTGGGGATTGGACAGCTGGGTTGCCGCGCTAATTAGGTACTTTGGTTGAATAAGTGAATGGATAGCTGGATTGTGGAGTTTCTTGGTGGATGGATTGATTACTGGAAAGCTCATACGTGACTCATACATACAGCACTCTCCCTATGTACTCTCCTTTCTCCCAACACACTCTCCCCTACACAATACTCTCCCCCTCTCCCCAAAACACTCTCCCCCTTAGCCACCTCATCATACCCTCGCGTTCTTTTCCACTCGTCACTGAAGGTAAAAACCAAGGTGCCTCGTTAGCGCTCATGTTGGGCAGTTATCCCTGAAGTGTCAGCGGTTGTCTCTGAATGACAGTCATGATCCACCAGAGTTGACGATGGACAATGGAAGGGGGAGACTGAATGGCACGTAGTAATGCTTGTTAATTCTCTCTCTCTCTCTCTCTCTCTCTCTCTCTCTCTCTCTCTCTCTCTCTCTCTCTCTCTCTCTCTCTCTCTCTCTCTCTCTCTCTCTCTCTCTCTCTCTCTCTCTTCTAGTGGTGGTGAGAGGGGTATCGCCACTAGGGGGGTGGGAAGAGTCAGGAGGAAGGGGACTTGGGGGGAGAGAGAGCAAGGATGTAACTGTTGAATCTTGTATAGTGACAACCCCACAAACACAGAGATCGTTATTGACGGTTCTGGGTGAGTCTTTGGGTGGAGGGAGGTACTGGGAGGGGGGGGGTGGAGCCCTGGGGGGCCGGAACGAAGGGATGGGGGCAGTGAAAGAATGGGGGGATGGTGTGGTAGAGTATATTGGTGGAGACTTGTGGAGATTGGGTGGGGTGGTTAAGCTGGTTGTGGTAGTGTAGGACGTTTGGTTGAGGTGGTCGGGATGGTGGTTGTGGTGGTGGTTGTATAAATGGGTGAAGCATTGTTACTCGTTGTATCTCTGGTTGGTATAGTACCACCGAGAGTGTGTTCTTAGCTGTGGCCCCGAGAGTGTGTTCTTAGCTGTGGCCCCGAGAGTGTGTTCTTAGCTGTGGCCCCGAGAGTGTGTTCTTAGCTGTGGCCCCGAGAGTGTGTTCTTAGCTGTGGCCCCGAGAGTGTGTTCTTAGCTGTGGCCCCGAGAGTGTGTTCTTAACTGTGGCCCCGAGAGTGTGTTCTTAGCTGTGGCCCGAGAGTGTGTTCTTAGCTGTGGCCCCGAGAGTGTGTTCTTAACTGTGGCCCCGAGAGTGTGTTCTTAACTGGGGCCCCGAGAGTGTGTTCTTAACTGTGGCCCAAGAACACGCGTGCACTAAAGTCCGCGACTCGCACCACAAAACAGCCGAGAACATGAAGCAACGTTCGTCCGACGATGCTTCTCCAGTGACAAGTGTGACTTATGACGCCCATCCGGCTTGGGAAGGCCTGCACTGGCCTACCATTTACGATACACCGGGGGGACTTAGCCAGGCGAACGTCAACGGTACTAGAACAGAACCCCGGGGGGGGGGGGGATACATCGTGCTCTCCGCTGATTGGTCATTACGTTCACCAAGAACTGTGCCCAGGTGATTGTTAAACTTCCGGAGCTCGCTCGTTCATAATTTACGGCCTGACTTCCACTCAGGTGATATGCATGCGAACTCAGCCTGCGACAGTGACGTCAATACTCTGATACACACAGTCTGAATGTAACGTTGACGTCAGTACTTCAATACACGCGATCTGAGTACAGCAGTAACGCTCTGATTCCCATAGTCTGAGTGTAACAACAATATCAGTACTGAGCTACAGTACATTTTTTGTCTTTGTTAACAAGTGCTTGTTACAAACTATACATCTAGCACAGTATTCTGCATTTTGAAATGAAGATTCGAACAGACTAACAGAGATAGCGTGACACAGATTTGAACACAGTGACTGAAGCAGAGTGAGACGTAGATTGGAAAAGATTAGAAGTGTAAAATTTAGATACAAACAGAGACGTCGCATGCGACATAGATTTGAACTGAGTGACAGAGGTAGCATGAGACGTAGATTCGAACTGAGTGACAATGTGAAACATAGATTCGAACAGTGACAATGTGAGACGTAGATTCGAACAGTGACAATGTGAGACGTAGATTCGAACAGTGACAATGTGAGACGTAGATTCGAACAGTGACAATGTGAGACGTAGATTCGAACAGTGACAATGTGAGACGTAGATTCGAACAGTGACAGAGGCTCCGTGAGACGAAGACTCAAATAGTAATAGGCAGCGTGAGACAGAGACATGATGGACGGGTAGTGGAGAATGAATGGAAGGAGTTGAGTGACAGTGACGGACAGCCCGTCAATTTTAAGCCCTTTAAATTCTATTTATTTATAACTGTTTGAACGGTTTGTATTTTAAGCTTGACTACTTTTTTGTGGTAATAATATATTTGTGCACGCACCGAGTGTTACGTGGGTCGGAATGCAGCTCCTGGGAACCGGCTCTAAATCAGTGATAGCACAGTGGGTGTGCGAGTGTTTTGTGTGTGTGTGTGTGTGAGTGTCTGTGTCCTATATTTCTACTCTGTCAATCCCCTTAAGTATTTTATGTCTCTATTATGTCTCCTCTCTCTCCTTTTTTTCTAGCGACGTCATGTCTAGTTCTTGTACCCCATCCCTCGTAATTCCAGGGTGACCTTTATTGCAGATTTCTGAGCGTTTTAATAGGTTTGCAACAAGGTTCATTCCAGAATTACAAGGGAGAGGGTTTGAAGAAAGACTGAAAGAAGTAGATCTGACGTTGCTAGAAAGGAGGAGAGGTGTGTGTGTACTCACCTAGTTGTACTCACCTAGCTGTGCTTGAGGGGGGTTGAGCGCTGTCTCTTTGGTCTCGCCTCTCAACTGTCAATCAACTGGTGTACAGATTCCTGAGCCTACTGGGCTCTATGTGTGTGTGTGTGTTTGTGTTAGTGTGCGTGTGTGTTTGGATGATGGTGGGCAGCTGGGAGGGGGCATGTGAGAGTAATAGGTGGGGACAGATGAGTTGAGAGGAATAGGTAGATTAGTAACGATGGGTTGGGTGAAAGAGAGGGAGGGGGAGGGGGGAAGGGGGTGATGTTGGATAAGGAAAGGGGGGACGGTGAATGGTAGGGGGAAGGGGTGCCAGAGTGGGAGGGGGTTGTGAGAGGGGGGGGATGTGGGAGGGGTAGATGGGTAGGGGGAGTGGTTGATATGTTGGGGGTAGAGAGGGGGGAGGGGGGAGAAGCAGCTGTATCGTCACTCTGGCAGTTCATTAACAAAGGCAGGTCATTCCATGCCCGCCCCTAGCCACGTGCTACCCAGTCAGCCCCAGATGGCAATGGGCACGTGCACTTCGCCTCCCCCCCCATATGTAACAGTGGGCACGTGCAGGCCGGCCCAGCTGGCTAAAGACACATTTTCTCCAGCTGGTTGAGGGCACGCGCTACCCATGATGCCCGTATTTACCTGCCGAGTGAATATGGGCAAATTCATCTTGCTTCAAAATGCCTCAAGGAATTGTATTGTCAAATAAGAATGAAAACAAGCTAAAGAATAACGCAGTGGGTATTATTACCGTTACTGGCAGAGGTGGGGGGTGGAGGGAGGGGGTGATTGTCTTGCCTAAGGGTTTAAATCAGTGTACAGTGATGGGGAAGGGGTGGGGGGGGGTTGAGGGGTTTAAGGGGAGGGGGGATCGAACGGTGGCTCCAGCACGCGCAGCTGCCACGGGTCGCCACCTGCCCAAACGTTCAAATGTGGCGCCTGAGTCGAGCACGAGCGACCATTGGCCTGACCACCTGACGTCATTGCCCTCCCAGCGCGGGCATTGGCTGGCGGGTATGACGTAACTGCGTTCCGGCCTCGCTATTGGTTGCGCGTGCAGGGCTGGCGCGTGCCATGTGCATCCGAGGCTATATAAGGCCCAGAGGTGCTGGCACGTGCGTAATAGTGCATCAATCTCGGCTCGGCGCCCTTGACATCGGTGCGGCGGCGCGAAGACTTCCGTATACTTCCGCGAAGACCTCCGAACGCCGTAAAGACTTACGTACACCGCGAATTATTTCGAACGTCACCTCCAAGATGATCTCCACCCGCAAGGAGTACATAGCGCGCCCCCCGAAGAAGAGGCCACTGGCACTCTTCAACTACACCCTGGAGACATCTGGTGCAGGTAAGACACGCCCATCGTCACGACGGGGACCTGTCTCTCTCTCCCTCCTGTAATGGCAGTCAAATTAGTGCTGTATTTTGAGGCATAAACAGTGTTGTGATAATTAGTGAACCTCTCAGGGCAGTGGTGATTGAACTTCATGACATACTTTGTTGTTTGATTTACCCTTTCTGTTTCTCTAGTTCTCTCTTCGTCTCCCTATTTCTCCCTCGCTCTCCTCCTGCTCCTGTCTCTCTCTCTCTCTCTCTCTCTCTCTCTCTCTCCTTTTGTGCTGTTTCTGACTCTTTGTCTTGCGTGTTGCAGGGGTTGACTCCGATGACAACATGCAGCCGCAGGACCTTAGTATGAAGAGCCGTCGTGTGCCCACTCCACCGCCCGTGCTTGCGGCACCGGCCCCCGCCACGCCCGCGCCCACCTGGCCACCCGCGCCTACCAGATCGCCAGCGCCCACCTGGTCGCCTGTGCCTACCAGATCGCCAGCGCCCAACTGGTCGCCCGCGCCCGCTAAGTCGCCCGGGCCCATCCCGCCCGTGCCCGCTAGGTCGCCAGCCACGCCCACGCCCACGTTTACGCCCCGTCGCCCCACTGATGTCACAGCTCTTCTGGGACTGGTCGGGGGCAGCATCAGCATCTCGGCCAACATCACCAACACCAACATCACCACCAACAACATCACCACCAACAACATCACCACCAACAACATGAGCAGGGGCAACTACATCAACAGTGGGGTCAGTAGCAGCAACAACAGCACCTACAGTAGCAACTACAGCAGCAACACCAGCAGCTTCATGAGTAGTGCTGGCTTGCGTCTCATCAGCGAGGTGGCCGCGGCGTGTGGGCGTCCCACAGTCCTACGGGCGCCTGGAGGGACGCAGAACACCCACACCCGCCCCTACGCTCCCCCTACACCAAGGGACCCCTTGCGTAATGTGCTGAGGGAGCGTGGCGCAGGCGTACACTCTTGGCACTTCAATCCGTACCTTCCCCTGGGGGTATATGGCCTTCCCTCGCCTCTTCATGCCGCCCACGCGCCCACCTCCGCCAGTAGGGATATGAGCAGCCCGGCAGGCCGCCCTAGAGGGGGGTCTGTTTCCCCCCCGGGTGAGACAGGATCAAGCAGCAGTGAGGGCAGCCCTGAGGGCCAGCACGAGAGCCGTGCACCACGCCTGGCGTGTCCGGACTGTGGGCGGCGTTACGCCACTATGGCCGGTCTAGCCAAACATCGTCAGTTTCACTGCTTGAAGGACGCCGGTCGGTCGTTTGCGTGCAAGCACTGCGATAAAGTGTACACGAGTCTGGGCGCACTCAAGATGCATATCCGCACGCACACGCTGCCGTGCAAGTGTCAGCTGTGTGGCAAGGCCTTCTCGCGGCCGTGGCTGCTGCAGGGCCACATCAGGACCCACACCGGGGAGAAACCCTTCCAGTGCCCGCAGTGTGACCGGTGCTTCGCTGACCGCAGCAACCTGCGGGCCCACCTTCAGACCCACACGGATGTCAAGAAGTACGCCTGCAGGACCTGTCCGAAAACGTTCTCCAGGATGTCCTTATTAGTGAAGCACGAGGATCATGGGTGTCCAGGAATGCGTCCTTCACGGCCCCTGGTCCTGTCCCAGGCATCCCCAGTGTCTCTCTGACCACACCCTAAGTCACACCTTACAAGTTAATGCAATCATAAAGTGTGCCAACCGTGAAGACTTTCCCAGCAGTATTACCAGAGTTGTGAAACTGAATTAAACAAAGTGTGAATTATAATCTATCGTGTAAATCTTGCCACCATCCCCCGACCTGGTGGAAGCGCGCAGTCAGATCTGCTCGCGTCAAAACGTCAAGTGCCAAAGTGTCACTCGGTGCCAGTAATGGTGTCTGTGTCTAGTCAAGCAACACCCAGTGTTTGTCGCTCGCCTGAGAGGAGTTTATAGCCTTAACATGCATGAAACAGCTTGAAAATGCGGAAAACCTTTGAGATATGCACAGTTAATCTCATAGTCGAATTTGCACATTAAAACGAGTTCCAACACCTTAATAAATCCACGATAACCCGTGAGCGCATTCTCAGCATAATATAAGAGAGTCAAGTTCGAACCCTGAGATGACAATACCGGTCGAGATACAAGTATGTGAACGTCTCCAAGGCTCTTCCCCACCGCCCCCCATTCCCCAACCACTCTCCTTCCCTAAATTCACCCCAAATACACACCCCCAATGTGAGGAGGCCAGGTGTGCTCCTCTTCAGGCGAGTTTCCACAGCTTTACCCACACCCTACGGTAGCCCAGGGGTCTCCTCAACGTACCTGCATTCCACCAAGTCCCAACTATTGTAGTCCCGCTGTGGGGAGAGAGAGAGAGAGAGAGAGAGGCTGGCTGCCTGGGAAGAAAGGGCGGACCCACTAGCGTGAGAGCCGAAGTTGTGTGAACCATGGGACAGAATGTGTGAGCGATGGTTTGAAAATAGCTCCAAGTAAGAGAGGTAGGAATGCAAATGATCGAAAGTGTGAAAGGGTTAAACGTGGGTAAAAAGGTGGGAGGGTGGATTTTAAATTGCCAAAAAGTGAGAGAGAAAGTGTTGAACATATTTGAAAGGTAATAAGGAAGGATTGTAAATAATTGATAGTGTTAGAGAACGGACTGGAAATGGTTGAACGTGAGAGAGGAATAAAAATTATTTAAAGTGAGAGAGAGAGAGAGAGAGAGAGAGAGAGAGAGAGAGAGAGAGAGAGAGAGAGAGAGAGAGAGAGAGATGGAGATGATTTTGTAAGACCATCTGAGATAAAAGACAATAACCCCACAATCATATGACACAAGAGAGGAAGTACCTGTGTGTATCTCGGCCTCTCCCACCCACAGTGGGCCTCTTTAGATCTTCATACAAATCAATAACTCATTGAGACAAATCCTGAGTTATTTTCCTGAGACATGGAGATCCATTTTTTTTAATACAAGACAATATAAGCTTTATTTTAAGACATGTTGAGACACTTCGACATATGCTGTGACTTATGACTTGTGCCTTTGTTGACAATACTTCCTGGTTCTGTCCTTATGATGCCTTAATATATATTTATGTATGTATATATTTAAATGAATATCTATGTGACCTGTACTGGCTCCCTGACTCTATACACGAGTGGAATGTCTCATGTATACATAGAGGAATCTTCACAGGATTCCCGAAGGAGCCTTGTGAGAGTCCTGTAGGATTCCTGGATAAATCCAGAGAGTCCTGTGGGATACTCGCAAGATAACCGAAGGATTCCTGTAAGAGTCTAGTAAGAGAGTTAGGATCAGATCATACAACAAATGTGCCAATGACCAAATTCGGTGCCTTGTCTTCCAATTGCTCTGTCCTCCTACTGTATATGACAATTTTTTGTTTGATTATAAAAAAAAAATATTCTTATACTGTCCTATGTAAATCCAAAGTATATATATATTTTATACTTTTATAAATAAAGATGCTTAAGACATGTTTGTATTTTGATACTTTTCTTATTGATAATAAGCGTGTTATGAAACAAATGTTCTGTAGCCTGTAGAGGGGCCTGACAGCTGAGTTGACAGCACTTCGGATTCGTAGTCCTGTAGTTCCGGGTTCGATCCCCGGTGGAGGTGGAAACAAATGGGCAGAGTTTCTTTCATCCTGATGTCCCTGTTATCTAGCAGTAAATATGTACCTAGGAGTTAGACAGCTGCTACAGGCTACTTCCTGGGGATGTGTAACAAAAATAAGGCCTGGTCGAGGACAGGGCTGCAGGGACGCTAAGCCCCGAAATCATCTCAAGATATAACTTCAAGATAGCCGGTTCATGAAATCTGCAGCGGAATAAGACGGATTTCATTTAGTGGCTATAACACACGTACACACTACGTACACAAACATATACATACATAGATATGTACGCACACAGACACACGTACAAACACACATCGCGAGAGATAAATAACTGTTGCTCAATTGTCTCATGTCTGAGTACAGCTTAATCGTCCTTGTATTATCATGAACTTCTGTGATTGTGAAGGTTGTGAAGGTTGATCATTCTAGCACACTACCGTTCCATATCCTCTCTAACCCTCGCATCCCATTTCCTCGGCTCTGTCCAAAGCAGTTACGCCAGTACAATGCTTCCCTCTCCTCTCCATCCAAAGGAAGGGCAGCAGTGATGCCGGGTTTAATAAGAAAAACAAACAACTCAAAAGCTGATACAGATGAACTTTGAGCATTTTTCATTCCAGCGATGCACTTGCTTGTACAGATTACTTAAGAGGCTCTAATTCGAGGTGTTAGGTTCACGCTACAGAGCTTACAGAGTCCTTATAAAGACTAAAGGCGAGGGAGGTACACTTCTGAGAGTCTACCAGGTAAACTAACACTACCTTTCTCATTCTATTCATTCATTAGATTCAGGACACCACAATCAGTTAATACATTTTGAAACGCTTTCTGTACCCAACACAATAGAAGTACATTATAATTTCATTTTCAATCCAAAAAAGCCTATCAGACTCATATAAATCATTGTGGATGTTTCAGGCTTTGCTGTGTTGCTCACACTTAGCAGCTCATCCACATGTACAATGATCAAATGCTCGGTAATACAACAGCCACTCTTCTATTTATGAATGAAATACTCTTTACATATGAAGTTTTACTGACTTCCTTTGCTCGAATTGCACCACTCTAAATGCTTCACCTATACACTGGAAAATCTAAATAATTGCTAACAAAATCTTAACACCTAACCTAATCTAGGCTTAACATAGCGCAAACATTCTAATATTTAGTAATAACAATTAAGAGTTGAGAAAACAAATGTTGATTGCACAGTTAATATTACCGAATACGTCATTGGGGCAGGCCGTAGTTTTTTTTCTACCACAGTCGTGGCCACACATTTACATTGCTAACCATCATATATACATTTTATTCTGTCCTCCGTGGACAGGGTTAGAGATTTGTTAAACATACAGTTCAGTGATTTGTTGAAAATCAACCACAGAAGGTGATTATAGTGCTTTTAAAAGGCTACTCTATACATAAATACACAGATTTACGTCTGTCCTACATAAGCAGTGTTCAATGCGTCTTTTACATAATGTCATTAAAGTGCGTTTACAACGGTGAAAGGCAATTCTGACCAGCTTTCACATATGCTGTATACACACAAACACACACACACACACACACACACACACACACACACACACACACACACACACACACACACACACACACACACACACACACACACACACACACACACATACACACACACACATATATGTAAATACTATCCTACTTTGAAAATGTAAGACAGCTAGGCCGTAGTTGGACGAGCATAGTCAGAGAACGGCTTGCTCTTGCGTGCAGTTCACTGGGAATGATCATCGAGAGTGAGAGGCAGCTGCAAGCAACGAGTTTTTGCCATGTCGCATTGTTGCAGATTGTGGTTAGTATTTGTCCTTCAACAGGTTCTGATTCGTCCATTCACATGCTCTATTTCGTTCCTGTCCGGGCTCCAGTCAGGTCCTCGTCTGCCAACCCGTTCTCTTGATTTACCACTCCGTACAAAATCCAACTATTTAGACTCGCCAGATAACGTAGAAAGCTCGACTTCTTAGTTGCGAGGACGGGTTGGTGACGAGTATTCAATATACGTTCTGCAACTACGGTCATGATATGCTTCTCCCTTCTAGTCCTCCATGTGTCAACTAGTGCCTCATCATGCTCCAACTAAAGGTGCAAGTGAGAGAGAGAGAGAGAGAGAGAGAGAGAGAGAGAGAGAGAGAGAGAGAGAGAGAGAGAGAGAGAGAGAGAGAGAGAGAGAGAGAGAGAGAGAGAGAGAGTGAGTGTACAGGAGCTCTCAAAACATACAGTGAAGTAAACAACAGGTGGAGTAGATTATGAAGACGGAGCAACTGTGTGGAGGGGGGAAGTGTGGCCGTGTTAGTGTTTGTTGATGGTGTAAAGGGGAAGTGAGCCACTCCCTCTCTACCGAGTCCCCTCTACTAACTATAATTCTCCCATCTTCCCATCTTCTGCATTATCGTCATGTTAATGACCTCATCTCATTATCTCCTGTAGTCGACTTGCAATCGGGGATTTTGGGTTTGAGTCAGAGTCGGGACAAAAATGGTTGGGTAAGTTTTGTTTTTTTCACGAGACGCTTTTGCTCACGTAGCAGTAAACAGGTTCCCCGGGAGTTAAGTAGCTGTTGTGGGTAGTATTTTGGGGTAAGTCAGTAGTTCGATAGATGGAGGACCTCGATGATTGTCTAAGCTCAGGCTTCCTGTCCCCCTACAACGGAATTTATTTCGCTCCTCTATTGGTATGTCTTACCCTGTTGTACTCCTTCTAATCACCTCTTCCATCTTCCTTCCTTCTTTCTTCCGGCTCTCCTTTCCTTCCTACTTCACATTCCCTCTCCATTCATTCCTGCTCTCACTCTTTCGCTTCCTCCTTCCTTCTCTCACCTGTTTCCTCTCTAGATGCAAGGTACATTTAGTTCTCAACTAAAAAAAAATATGATTGGATAGTGTGGGCCGTAGATAACGGCCCATAGATGGAAGTGGACTAGATAAACGGGTGTTAGGTATAATAAAAGAATACAAGATAGATGGCGACTATGTAATTTGTAAATGAGATAGATAAAGGAATGCAAATCATGGGCAAGGAGAGTTGATAGCAGGTTGCTATGTGCTAGGTAAGAGGGTATGGTATGGAAACTAAGGGAGGGGGGCTTGGTAAAGTGATCAAAAGCGGGCTAAATTGAATGATGCTGGAAAAGAAACTAGCTGCATTGAGCTTGGTGACCATAAGCACACAACACATCAGATTTTTACAGAAGGCCTATAGGCCTATGCGAGGCAGCTATGATTTAATACAAACCTCTTCCTATTCATGTACGTGTCCAACCACTAACATTCATGTGTACATGTAACTACTAACAGTCATCAACAACAAAAATTACACATTTTCAAGTGACTTCACACCCTTCACCTTTTCAGATATAATCATTCTATGACACTTTTCTGACACATTAGCATATAATAAAGGATCTGAAGTTTGGGAGTTTCCAAAACATCTTTAGTTTTCCTAATACAAAAATACAGTCATCAACATACGCTTCATCCTACTGCCCCCACCAGTCTCACACTTCACCCTACTACACCCACCAGTCTCACACTTCACCCTACTACACCCACCAGTCTCACACTTCACCCTACTACACCCACCAGTCTCACACTTTACCCTACTACACCCACCAGTCTCACACTTCACCCTACTACACCCACCAGTCTCACACTTCACCCTACTACACCCACCAGTCTCACACTTCACCCTACTACACCCACCAGTCTCACACTTCACCCTACTACACCCACCAGTCTCACACTTCACCCTACTACACCCACCAGTCTCACACTTCACCCTACTACACCCACCAGTCTCACACTTCACTCTACTGCCCCCCACCAGTCTCACACTTCACCCTACTACACCCACCAGTCTCACACTTCACCCTACTACACCCACCAGTCTCACACTTCACCCTACTACACCCACCAGTCTCACACTTCACTCTACTGCCCCCCACCAGTCTCACACTTCACCCTACTACCCCCAACCAGTCTCACACTTCACCCCTACTGCCCCCACCAGTCTCACACTTCACCCCTACTGCCCCCACCAGTCTCACACCTCACCCTACTGCCCCCTAGTTCTCCGTCTTTGCGAGCATCTCTCTGCACCCTCCTCTTCCACCACCCTTCGTCACCCTGGCTCACGACACAGGTTTAAAGGGGAAGAGGCAACACATAGCGGCATTTAATGGCACTCTACCGGTTCTGTGGATTAACTGAGCTGTCCTGTGTTGTCAGTATTGGGGTAGCCAGGAGGAAGGGAGGGGGGGAGTGGGAGGGAAAAGGGGGAGGGGAGGGTGTGATGTGAGAGATAGAAGAGGGGGGATGATGGGAGGGAAAGAGAGGGGAACGTGTGAGTAATGTATGAGAGGGAAAATTGAGATGATTTGGAGGGGTTTATGAATGTAGTGCATGGGCATACCTTGCAGTACTCACCTATTAGTATCTGAGGGGAGTGAGATCTAGGTTCTTGGGTTCCCACGCCTCATTGTACCATTAAATCCATTAATGTACCATCCCCTCCCATTAATTCTTTTAACGTTTGATCTCTGCGACGTATTTGCTCTTGATGCTGTGGATGGAGGTGGCTCCCACGGCGTATGCTTACACTACTGTCCTCCTGGGATTCATGAAAGCACTTACGCAAGCACTTACGAACCTGTATATCTTTTCTCAATTTTTGGCGGCTTTGTTTACAATTATTAAACTGTTAATGAGCTCCGAAGCACCAGGAGGCTGTTTATAACAACAACAA